GTTTAAAAATGGAAAATCATGCCTTTTTCCCCCGAAAGCTGCAAAATCTGTCTGGAGCAAAATAATAATAGAGTGGCAGTCCTTCTAGAGTGCACTTTTGATCATTTATTTATGCTTGGGGCAAAAGTAATAAAAAAAAACCTTCAATGAAGTCGCATTGATCTCTCTTGTACAAGTGTTATGAATAGCAATATACTTTCAACGGAGCAAGAAGAGGTCAGTTCTGTGCTGAAAAGTAGAAGAGAGAGAGGAAAGGGTTTGGGCTGTGCAGCCTTCTCTGGGTGTGAGAGAGAATGGGAAGACAGGAATATGCAGTAAAGTAGTAGGATTTGCCATCGAGGAATTCCCAAACCCAGAATCCGGTTTCACTGTTGCTCCCATTCTACACCAAATCCCTCTTCCAGGGCATCAAAGAGAGCTTCTCCACTTTACAGAGTCCTGTCAAGTGGAATCTTTTTTTCCAGACCCACCAATCATGTCATAACACGCACCACCTAATATCCACAGCATCGTTTGTTTTCGGTCCCTTTACTGCCCACAGCCTCCTCACCCTAAAATACCTATCCTAGTATAGCCGTTTCAGGAAACTTGTCAGAGCAGTGAGGATTAAAGATCTCCTGAAAATAGTAGTGCCTCATTTTTTTCCATCTCTGGCTTTTCACAGACACGCCAAGACTCCAGAAGTCAGCACTATTGTTTAACTAGTATCACACCTTCCCCCAGCTCCCAATGTTTAATTTATTTTTAAATCTCTCCCATTTGTTTTCTGACTGAAACTCGTATACCAGATTTACATTGCTTTTGACACTTTTTCTCACCTCCTGTGCCGGTTGTCACCTTCTCTGTCTGTTTGTCCGCCTGCTTACTTCATAAACCACGTTGTGCTTTTTCTTTTTTTCTGTGTGGAATTAATTACGACATGTTCCTTTCAAGCTCCCACTCAAACGTACTTTAATCGATACATTTGGTCTGCTTAAGGAAAAGAAAACCATTTGGGTAATTCAATTCCCCAAGAGCTGCAGTGAGCTGCAGGGAAACTAATCACATTCTCAGAGTTTGTTGTGTACTATAGCTGTGTCATGTTTTATGTGTCTAGAAAGAAATTTGTGTCGGTATTTATCAATTAACCTTGTGGTTTTGTTTCTTTGTTGTGAAGGTCACATACAATACATGTCAACTATAATCAAAGACAGCCGGAAGCAGTTCAGAAAGAAGTATGGGGTGCAGTTTCTTCTGGACACCATTCGCCTCTATTATGGGTATGTGTTTTACCTTGACCAGATATTAGGTGGAATCAGTTATTGTTACAGTAACACCCAGTCTGGGCTTTGCAATTCTTTTACAACCCCAAATGTGTTCTCTTCTATTGCAAAAGATTTCAGCGTTCGTCCACAACATGAAATGTGTTTCTGTGAAAGCACACTTTTTTTCCTGTCTGGAATTCAGTCACGGATATCTTGTGAATGATTATCAGGAGTCTGGTTTCCCATTTTTAGTAAAGCTGTAAATTTTTAAAGCAATCGTTCAATTGTGATAAACCATTCCTGGTGGTTGTGCTTTGCAGGCATCTATTATCAAGTTGTCAGTATGGCTTGGAATCTAAAGTATTGATTAATGTTTATAATGTGCCCTTTTTTTGTGAAGGGTGTGCATGATACTGTAGGAGCCTATTGAATGGAATTTTCAATTAAGCAATTAACTTAGTTAACAAGTAAAATTTTCTAATGAGTAAACAACACAAACATTTTCAATACTAATGTAACATTTACTAAAAGCTATATAAAAATTTTAACATTTTATTTTGTAACATTGTGGACTTCAAAAAGGATAAATAAAATAAATGTAAAACAAGGCATTTGTTAATTGGGCCCATAAGTGTTTGCAGCCATGCTAAAGGACTCTTTTGGCTAGAGTAAGAAAGTGGGAAAAAATGGTGCTTTTTGGTTCACTGTATTGATGTTATTTTTTGTCTTAATATATCATTAATGTTTTTAAAGTCCAAATCATGAGAAAACGTAACACATTAGGTTTCCTGTTCTATTCGGTGCCCTACATCGGAATAGTCCTGTATTTAGAGCTCATGCCTGGAAGTGATGAGCACCTTCCTCTCCTCAGGACTCAAAGTAAGAGGAGCGATCTGAGTGAGGATGATATGAAGACCATCCGGGCCTCTCTCTGCGGACTTCTCAAGTACTATATTAGCAAAGGGGTGGTCCAGGAGGAGCTGCAGAGCATCCTGGGGTACATAGCTGCCATCGGTGATGAAGAGCAGGTAAGAAGGAGAAGAAGTTGTGTTTTTGAACCGTCTTTCTTTCTTTTTTCAGATCTTAAATGTTCTGCTGACATACAGACCTCTGTACTCCATAAACTATATTTTGTATTGGGCTTCCTCTGATGGTTTGTCTTACACATTTCTGACTACTACTACTACTACTACTACTACTACTACTAATATGGACACTCCACTCAGGTAATGGGGACTCTCCTCCACTACCACCTGTGGATGATGCCATGGCAGCCAATGTGCGCTCACCACACATCAGTTCAGAGATGGGGATTATTAGGAGGCCATGATTGGTAAAGGCCAGGGGGAAATTTGGCTAGGATGCCGGGGTTATACCCTTACACCTTTTTGAGACACGCCCCTGGATTTTCATTGGCCACAGAGATTCAAAACCTTGGTTTTATGTCTCATTTGAAGGACGGCACCCCATTTACAGTATAGTGTCCCTGTCACTATACTGGGGCATTAGAGCCCTCACAGACTGCAGGGTGAGTGCCCCCTACTCACACCTGCTGAGCTTTAGGGGGCTGCCAGATGTGAGTTGCAGGGTGATGTAGCTGCTGGCTTAAGTAACTTTGCACAGCTGCATTGCTGAACTGCATGCACCCATAGCTGAAAAAATGTATTTGATTACAAATGTAAGAAATGATAAATGACTTCATTATCATGTGAATATGAATGGCCCTTGTGTATTCTTGTATTTCACCTGTTCGGTACATAAGAACCATACAATATGAATCTTATTGTTAAGTTAAGGTGAAAACACCCCATGCCACAATATCTACAGTATATATCAAATGACCTGTACTTTTCTGTAGAGAGTTTGAATATTTATAGAGGCTTTTTAGGCTGTTTTCATGCATTCTTGGCTCCTGTTTAAGCTAGTTTCACACACGGATGGCATTTTAAAAATAAAATAAGTAAAATAAGTTTTTTTATCAGACAATAGGAATAGGTTATACTTATGTTTAACTGCATTTTTCATTGTCTGAAGTTGTTTAAAGTGGAACAGCTGTTCAGGTAATGCATAGATAGAAGGCTTAAGTCACCTCTTTGCAGTCCATTGCCACTAAAGCTCTATCATTTCAGGTGATCGATTGGATTTCAAAAAGGCAGTGATTACAAATCATACAAAGTTAGCCTTTTCCAAGCAAGACTGAATTTCTGTACAGGACATGTTTTCTGTCTGAGTGCCAGTGGCATTTTTTGGGCAAGCCTCTGTCTGGGCTAATTTCTTATTTTTTGTCTCTTGGCAGCTGTGTGGAATTCTGGAAGTTTTACTGAATTTGCTACAGACCAGTGCGGCCAGGGACCAACTCTTTCTGCTGCTGTTTGAGCCTGGCAATGCAGAGATTTTCTACAGTCTCCTCCCAAACTACAAATACACTGACCGGCTGAGGGACCTGGTCTTTAAGGTGAGAGGAGAGGTAGCAGGACTCTCCATTTTGTGTCTCTGCTACTTGTCTGTCTGCTGGTGTCTTACATTACAGAAAATAATGTTTAAAAACAAGGAAAATGACACAGGACTGATGTTTTGTTAATGTAATTTCAATAGACAAAAAGGAGAATGTCTAAAACATGCTGGTACATGGTATTACCGGGGATAGTTAGTGTAGATTCCATAGAGGTAATCCTTGCTTAACAAATCATCAAGGATTCTATGAAGAAGCAATTAAAAGTACACATAGTGCTTATAACATTCACTGTACGGCTGTTAAATGCAGAAAGCATTTAAGAAGGTTTCCCATGCGAGTCTCAACTCATTAAACTTAATGCTGGGGCAGCAAATGACTCACGTTTACTTGGTCCGCAGACAGCCGGAATACAGTGAGGTCGATAACAGGAGGAATGAGATACGATTCAGGCGTGGGCAGATATATAGCAAATGAATTCGTTTAAATAAAGGTTTTGCTTTTGCAAATAAGAAACTATTTCTTCTTCACGGAAATTCTTAATTTCATTATACAGTATAGACTTATAAACAGCATCTGCTTTTGGTGGTCTATATAACATACACCTTGCTTTAACTATGGAACGTTCTTTAATGGGTCTGACCCACATCAATTCAGACAGTTTTGA